GGGTGCTTATGTGGCTTAAATGAGATAATTTGTGAATAGTACCGCAATGCAAACAAAGCAAGTGTTCAGCAAACCTCACTACTATTGCTGTTACTGTGGGTTTTGGGTTGCAGTTTGGCACTCGGTCTCTGAAAGCTTTGCTGTCACTGTCTAGCGTTGAAGCTGTCATTTAACGGGAGAGTGGTGCCTGGTGGTGCAAAGCCTTGAGTTCAATTCTGAGCCCTGCGAAAACAGGCAGTACACTCGATTCTCAGGCTCAGGGGGCAGGAGAGAGAAGAGGAGCTCACAAAAGAGTGAAAATTGGTGCACTCTGTGCTCTCTCTGGTGACCGCGTCCCCCCAGGTTGGAGGCTGCTCCTGCAGGGTTCCCCTTTTCCACTTACTCTTGAGAGAGGGGGGCTGCGGCCACAAGCTCTGCTCTGCTCCCTATACACCGAGGACGGGGGCGGGGGTCACATCCACTGCCCTTCAGTTCGAAGCCTGTATTCTTCTTCTTCTTCTTTTTTTTTTTTTTTTCTTTGTGGTACTGGGGATCGAACTCACAACCTCACGCTTGCCAGGCAGGTGCTTATGCCGCTGAGCTACTCCCCAGCCCTCGACCCTATATTCTGCATCACCTGCAGCCTTGCCTCCCCACAAAATGAACACTCTCCTTTTCCTCTCAGTAGCTAGAATCAGTTTTAGAAATCATCTAGTCAAAAAAAAAAAAGACAAATCAAGGTATGTCGTGTACAGTACATGCTCCCCATGGTGCACGTGATCATGGTATATACCTAAAGTGTAAAATAAATGTACTTTTAAAATAACCACCTAGTTTATCCCCTCAAAATATTAGTTTCAAAATTAAAGCTGTCATTTAAAAAAATGCTTGCATGAAAACATATGCATCTTGAGACCATAATTAAGTGAAATAATCAGACACACAAGTTTAAATACTGCCTGGTTTCCGTGATATGAGAAACCCAGAATATAAATGAAGAGCAAAATAAAAGACAGATAACGGTGGCGAACGCCTGTAATCCCAGCACTCAGGAGGCTGAGGCAGGAGGATTGCCACGGATTCAAGGTCAGCCTGGGCTACTTAGTGAGGCCTTGCCTCAAAAGAAAGAAAGAAAAAGGACAAGATAGGTAACAGGAAGCAGGGAGATAGAGCTTTCTCAGATGAGAACGAGAGATGGACAGAGAATACAGGGGATGAAGAAGGATGTAAAATGTGTGATGCACGTGTATCAACTCCACACAAAGAACATGATCACCATGTACTGCAAACGTGTACCAAAAATTTTTTTAAATATCTTTACAAATTTTCACATAATTAAACGGGAGCGAACGGAGCAGGCCTTCTCCTGACAAGCCTACACACGCTCATCAGTCGCATCTCATGTGCCCTCCGCAGAAACATTTCAGTTTTCTCCATGCTGTCCCAAATATTTACGCTGTCACTGCCTACCGTGGGCCTGCGATGCTGCTGCTCCTCCTCCTGCAGAGGCCCAGGCTGCTATCCAGCCCTGGAAATGCTACCAACAGCAGGTCATCAATGATTCACGGTAAACAGGTGCCGGCCGCAGTCACAGACTCGCACATCTGTACACCCCAGTCCCCCTTGAGGCCCGCAGTCAACAGGAAATTTGGTAAACGCGAAAGGAGACAGGAAAGGAGACTCGCATGGAGAACAGCCTGGCACCCTGTTTGTACCCAGGAGGGGAGACCAAAGAGGACTGGGAGCTTGCGGGTGGCAGGCAGGCAGGGAGAGCGGGGAGACAGACCGAGAGCTGGGTCACAGGGTGAGGGAGGGCACTGGGGCATCCCGACTCCCTCCACTGCCCCCAGAGTGGGGTACGCTACGGGACAGAAGTGGGGGGCAGCCGGAGCTGGGGATGACACTGAGTCTCAGAAAGTGGGCACAGAGTGAGTTACAGATGGGGAGCAAAAGCTCGTGATTTCGAGGGACCCTGCTCTCGGCTGCTGAGGTCCCTGACCTCCCCTGCCTGGCTCCGCTCCCTGTGGCAGGGCAGCTGGGACAGCAGGGTCGGCAAGGGGTGAAGCTACCAACACAGCTGTCTGGACCCCTGCCTGGCAGACAGAAGCCAGCCTGTGGCTGCTATGGTTTCCGGTTTCCGTATACTGGAGCTTTCAACCTATTTCAAATACCCTTGCGCTAAGGAGCTCATTTCACCTGCAGCACAATCCTGGGAGAGAGGCAGGAGGGATGCTCTCTCCGTGCTCCTCCCTCTCTGCCCTGGGGTTCCCTCAGGAGCCCTCAACCCTTCTTCCATCCTGGAAACATCCAGCGCTGAATCGGGCAATGCCCCGAGGCTGCCCCTGGGTCCTCTCCCTGAAGGCCATCCTGGGTGGGTGTGACACAGAATCATCTCGCCCCTCCTGGAATTTCCCAGGCTGCCTCCTGCTCCGCTTCCACCGGAAGCCTGGTGTGTGATGACCATTTCACCCACTCCCTGGGGAGCTATGTCAGGCTTCCCCTCACGAAGCCAATGGCAACCCAAGATCTACCGAGACAAAGGCCTCAGCTCTGAATCACCCAGTGAGCAAACAGAGAGCAATCTGGGCTGGCTTGGAAAGCACACGAGGCTTGGGTATTGCAAGCCGAGGGTTCCGATCCCGGTTCTGGGAGAGAGGCAGGACTGGACCAGCTCCTGCCCCCAACTTTGGCTTCCATAACTGTCAAGTGGAAATAACAGTGCCTGTCTCTTGAGGTGACTGAGAGGATTAAGTGAGATTAAGATGCCACAGCATTACATAAAAATTAATTACTCTGGTTATTAAGGAAGGCAGGTAATGTGAGGCCTGCAGAGCAATGAATGGGAACAGTCTGGAGGCCTGCTCGGTTCGCCTGTGTGGCCGTAGGCAAGTCCCAGGCCTCAGTTTCCAAGGTCCCTGCCAGCTACAAGACTGTCATGTCTCGAGGGCTGTACCTCTGGCCCAAGAATTCTGGCATTGGCCAACCTGATTTCTCTCTCTCAGTCATTCTATCTCTCTTCCTCCCTTTCCTTTCCTCCTTAGATTAGATACAGGATCTATGTTGCCTATGCTCGTCCTAGACTCCAGTGATCCTCCTGCCTCGGCCTCCTAAGCAGTTAGGATTATAGGTACAAACCACTGGGCCCAGCTACACCCTGATCTTTCCACTGGTTTATTCCCTGAGCCTTATGTTGCTTTAGTTATCTGCATCTTATGAAGGGAAGCTAGGTAGAGAGCAGTAAATAACCTTGTCTCCACTCCTTCTGCCTACTTCCCTGGCAGCTGAAAGGGCCGTCCACACCCTTCTCCTCCTCAGCTTCCATGACCTTCCCAACGCCTCCCAGCTGTAAGGGGGCGAGGAAGGTCTGGAGAGTAAAACCCATGGCAGGGGGACAGGTGAGATTTCCCGGTTGGAAACACCAGACCTGGATTGCCTCATTGTTTGGGGGCAGGGGCAGGGCTGGCTTAACTGCCTGGCTGTACATCCTGTTTCTCCCGGGACTGCCCTGGCGGTGCCAGACCCCTGATCTTGTCCTTGAGGAAGCGGCCCAGTATCACTCTGGCTGAGCTCACAGAGATGAATTAAATATTAAACACGCTAAGGCCAGAGCCCCTGGTGCAGCCGCACATTCCCAGCACACAAACAATGCACACAGCTGGCTGCGTCTCTCCAGCAGCCGTGGGCTGGGCCTCTCTGCTCTGTGAAATAAGAAATGACATGGTTTTCTTCTCCCCGGCACTCTCATGGTCCCTTGTGTCCCTCGTCCAACCCCCAGCACTGCAGGCTCTAGGGAGCTGGAAATATCTCGAACACTGAGTTGCAGCATCTGCAGTATTAAAATTTAACAGGTCTGTCGTTGGTCAGGCCCCACTGATGGAAAGGGAACAGCTCAGGCAGTACATTGATGTCCTGACACCCTTCAGGGCACTGGAGGCCTGGATAGTGTTGGGGAGAGGCCTGGTACGCAGGCTGGTTGGTTTGTTTCTCAGATTACTGTGGGTTGTAGAGGCAACTGGATTGGTAGAACCTCAGAGATCACCTGGATTATCCTATTTTACAGAAAGGAAAACTGAGGCAGGAGGAAACCATTTACACAAGGTCACTCAGGGAACTAACCTTAAACTTGAGGTCTCTGGTGTACAGCCCAGTGCTCCCTCAACCCTGCCTCCTCCGGGACCCTCTAAATCTCCTTCCTAATGATACCACGAAGAGGGCCTGGCACTGAACGGGCCTTTTCCTGGGAACAGAGTGCACCCATGGTCCTGTTTTGCCGCGAAGGACCTGGCAGAGCATGAATTCTGTGAATTCCAGCTCAGCTCTGCCACTCTGCAGGATGAAACCTTGGTCCAGTCACTTCTTCAAGCCATCCGGTTCCTCCCCTGTAAAATGGGGATTTTTAGAGCCACTACTCTAAGAATTTTAAGGCATGTCTGTACTGTGAAGTGCTGTCCAAAAGTCAGACAGCATTAATACCGTGGTGCCTCAGTTCACAAACGTGATCCTTTACACGATTCTGGTAGCAAAATGAGTTGGGCCAAAACCAAATCAAATTCAGTGGGCTGGCTTTAGGCCAACTGTGGCTCGGTGCTCATCCTATTCAGGCCGTGACCAGAACTGTGAAAGGAACTGAGTTCGTGAACCGGGGCACCACTTTGTGATGTGAGGTCTGAAGATTCTGCAGGAGGATGTAGCAGCCTGTGCAGAAGTGAAAACCTACACTCACAAGAGGCTGCCCGGCTGTCCCAGGGACCAAGCTAATCCTGGGGCCAGCGCGAGACCCACAGCAGCGGGTCAGACTCACAAATTCACTGCTTTGACCTCACCTGCCTGTTTGCTTCGTGTGCACCCAGGCACATGCATGCTCCTGGCCGCCCAGTACTGCAGCAATGTGTTCAAAAGGCAGTGGGCACACGCAGTATGAAGTAAAGGGAGGACACCCCACTTCAAGCCTGCCCATGGCCCCTCCAAGGGGAGCCTGCGCTGGGACCGCTCACCTGCTGGGGCGCCTCTGGGTCCCTTACCTTGTACTTGGCCGCAAGCAGCTCTGTGGCCTGCTGCTCCCGCCGCAGGTCCTCCAGCATCTTCTCCTTCTCCTCCAGCAGCTTCTGCTTCTCCTCGCTCACCAGGCTGCGGTCATCCTGGATGGCTGCCTTCTCCTCCTCCAGCCGCTCCTTCTGCTCCTGCAGGTAATTCTCCATGTTCTTCTCCAGGGCTGGTTCCAGGATGGGCTGGGGCGGGTGATGGTTGTTGTTGTTGTCGTCCTCCTCTTCAGCCACCCAGGCCTCGATCACTGGTCCCTCGGGGTACCCCGCCGGGGCAGACACGGCCTTCTTCCTGCGGCTGCTCTTCCGGCGGGGCCGCTTGCCCAGCATCCCCCTCTTCTCCAGCTGGGCCTTCAGGCGGGCAATCTCCTCCTGGAACTCCCTCAGCAGCGTGTCCTTGGGGTCCTCGTTCACCCGGGGCTTGTTCTTAATGTTCTTGGCTCGATTGGCGAAGCGTAGGGTAGAGAGGCTCTCGTCGTAACTGTGAGAGGCAGGTCCCAGTGTGGCCACCATGATGGTTTTGGCGTTTCCCCCCAGAGAGTCCTGGAGCAGCCGGGTCAGCTTGGAGTCCCGGTAGGGGATGTGGGTGCTCCTGTTGCCCGCCAGGGCAGCAATCACGTTGCCCAGAGCAGACAGGGAGAGGTTGATTTTGGAGGCTTCTTTAGGCCTCTCTCCATTGCCACCACCAGTGCCACTGCCACCGCCACCTCCGCCACCACCCGTGGACTGAGTGGCCGTCCCTCCGGCTGTGTTGGGACCTGCCTTGTTCTGCCTCTCGCTGCCAGCCAGGTCCACCAGGTTGAGCTTCCCCACGCGGATGTGCTCCTGGCCGTCTGTGCCGCGTTCGCTGCACTCCACGGTGATAACGAAGATGGCGTGGGAGCGGGAACTGACCTCATTCATGTGGGTGCTGCCCACTGCTCGGGTCTGGTTCCCCAGGTTCATCACGTGCTCGATCTCCTTGACATTCTTGGTGACAAAGGAGGAGAGGTCCTTGATGTAGACTCCCGTCTCGGGGTTCTCCTTCAGCTCTAGCCTCTTGCCTGGCTCTTTAGAGAGCAGGTCTCGAATCTCCTCCTGGTAGATCTCCAGGTAGGAGGCCCGGACCAGGTACTGCTGGTTCTGGGAGCGAGAGATGTGGGTGAAGATGTGCTCAAAGGCGTTGGGGATGACCCCGCGCAACTCGGGCTCCACCCAGGTCCCCTGCATGGTGTAAGTCTTGCCGGTGCCCGTCTGGCCGTAAGCAAACACTGTGCCGTTGAAACCCTGAAGGACCGAGTCTATAAGGGGCCTCACGGTTTCATCATACAGGTCTGCCTGCTTGGAGCTGGCGTCGTACACAGCATCAAAGGTGAAGGTCTTGGGCAGCTCCCCAGGGGCCGCGCGGGGGTTCCGCAGGGTCACCTGGCCCAGTTTCACGTCCATGGTCAGGATCTGCTCGTGACCGGCAGCCTCCTCCTTCCTGTTGAGGGGTCGGCACCGGGCCACCACCTTCAGGGCCTCGCTGGCCTTGGTCTTACTGGCCATCCTCCCGCACTGTGGCTCCCGCTGTCCTGCTGCCTAGGTCTGGATCCGCGGGGCGGACTGTGCCCCCAGGCGCCGCTCTTCAATCCGCATCCAGCCCGGGGGGTTGGGGATGCTGCTGGGAGGTGGCCCCGCCGCCGCCGCTGCAGTCCGGGCCTCGGCTCTCGGGTCCTCGGTGTACCGGCTGGGGAGGCGGACTAGGCGGAGTCCGTGGGCAGCCGCGAAGGCTGCGACCGCCGAAGGGCAGTGCCCCGAGCGCGCCCCATGCCCGGGCAGAGCGGGCGCCGCCGCCGTAAACAGCTCCGGCAACAATGAGATAAAGGAAAACAGGACGGGGGTGGGCGGCAGGCCGTCTTCTCCTCCCTCCTCTAGCGCTCCATGGCCGGCCGCGGGCCCCGGGCGGCCGGGTGCGGCCCTCCCGGGCGCAGAGGCTCACCTGGCGTCCCCGGCCCGGCCGGGGGACCGCTCATCACAGCCGGCGCGGCTGCCGCTGCCTGCGCCGCCGCCCGAGGACGCAGGAAAACAGAAGGGGACGGGGCGGAGCAGCGGCGGCCAGGGGATGTTGCCGCCGCTGCCGCCGCCGCCGCGCTGCGGCCCCGCGAGGGCTCCCGGCTGGGGTGGGGCGAGGGGCGGGGCCGCAGGGCGGGGGACACGGGCGCATCGCCGGCGCGCCCCGGCCTTCTGGGATGACAGGCTCGGGCGCCGAGCGGGCCCCCCGCGCCAGCCAGTCGGCTGCAGCGCCGCCGCCGCCCGCCGTCACCCCACCGGGCTCGAGCATGCTGGGAGTTGTAGTCCTGCCTTTGTTAACCGGGCCGGCAGGTTGCTGACGCCTGCTCCGGCCCTCCAGCCTCGGAGCCCCGCCCTCCTCTGCGTGCAACCCTCGAGGGGCTGCTGAGGTCGCGCCACCCCACGCGTGCGCCCTCTGCAGCTCCCTCCTGGGTCTCTCGCCGCTCCACGGTGCAGGTCGCCAGGCTGCCTTCAGGGTGTCAAGGCTGCCTGAAGCCTGACTCTGCAAGGTTTCTGGGTGTCTTCCTCTACTGTCCTGATTTCCTGGAGGCCTTCCTGTTTTCTCAGGGGCTGCACAGCCTGCCGTATCCTCTGGGGGCCTGCCATTCTTCTGACCTCCTGGCCTCACTCTGCTCCCCTCCCCTGGCGTCTGTGTTGCAGGGTCCCCACGCGTCTGGACCTTTGTGGTCCTCAAGGAGCACACAGCCTTGATCCCGTGCTTCCTTTCCTTGACTGGCTGTTGCTTTGCCCAAGGATCGGGTCATCCTTCTGCGCTCGCTGCCCTGCCACTTGGACAGCATAAGAACTTCCTTGTCCGAGTACCTTCCCCGACCTGTTCTCCTGTCCCCACCCCCCACAGCAGACAGAGGCACAGAATTATGTAAATCCAATTCTGCACCCACCGTACGACTTTGAGTAGCCACTGAGTTTGTTCCAGCTTCAATTTCCTCCAATGCTTAAAATAAACTGGAGAGGGGGTGAGAAACAGTATCTACGCCAAGGAGCAGTTGGGAGGCCCGAATGAATCTTGAAGTATTGTGCTGATGAGAAGCCCTGGATACGGACACTCAGAGCCTGGCTTCATTGTTGGAAGGAGCGTCTTCCCTGGGTCTCCGGATGGGCCAGTGTGCATGTGGACGATGTTCTTTGGGGTTCTGCCCTCCATGTTAGTAGTCCCACAGGCCCAAGCTCCAAGCCAGAGTCCTACCCCGGTCTGCTCTCCAGGGGGCGCTGTCCTTCCTGTCCTGCCCATGAGACCCAGATGGAGGAGGGTCCAGGATCTGAAACCTTTGCACAGGTGCCTCAAGAGTCTTTGCGCAAAACGTTTCCAATCATATTATCCTCTAGGGGGCAGAACTGTTCATAGTTTTTCAACACAGAAAGCTTCTCCCCTAACTTCTTGCCCATTTCCAAATCCCCAGGATTTGAATGTCACTAGGTTAGGGTTTAAGGCTCAGCTGGTGGCTTCCCCATTTCTGAAGTTTCCTGGCCGTCCTCCCTCACGTCCTGATCAAGCGTCACTGCTTGAGACATTTCGGGCCAATAGCCTGGTGAGCATTTTGGCTTTGTAAATGAACCTCTCTTGGCTCGGACAATCTGACTTCTGGCTAGGCCTTTTGATCGCTGAATTATTTTCTTGATGTATTTGGCTTTGGTTTTGAACGCCCTTTTCCTGTTTGGCTAATTCTTCTGCCACCAGAGTGGTGGATAAAATGGATCTTCACACTGTTCTCTCCAGCTGACTTCACCACCATTTAGGGCACTGGGCCAGATCCTTCTGTGGTAGAGGGAAGTTTTAAAACGCCCTTGCTTGCCAGATAAGAGTAAGTTACTGAACTTTTCAGAATAGCTGTTTTCTCCGCGGGATAAGTGAGGATAAGGATGCTTACCTTGCTGGGCATGGTGATATGTGCCAGTAATCCCAGCACTCTGGGAAGTTGAGGCAGGAGGACTGCAAGTTTAAACCCAGCCAGAGCAATTTAGCAGTGTATTAAGACCTTATCTTTTGGGGCTGGGGATTTAGCTCAGCAGCATAAGCGTCTGCCTTGCAAGCAGGCATTTGTGGGTTTGATCCCTGGTACCGATAAAAAGGAAAAAGAAAAAAAAAAAGACCTCCTCATTTTCCACATCTGGAGCTCGAAGTAAAAAAAAATTAACACTGATCCGGGAAGCAGAAAATATTAATATCCCCACCTTGCAAGAAGGATCTCAAACTTCAAATTGAGGTAGGGCCCAGAGGGGAGACCCCGCTCCTGAGGCTCCAAGCCTGCAGCCCAGGTCCTGATGCCAGCAGGACGTCGCTTTTTCCCAGCTCTGGTTGGAGTGGAGGCTGCCCTGGCTATGGACCCATCCTCAGCTCCGTGGGTGGAAAAAACACCTTTGCAGCGAGCGTTTCCTTTAGTGAAAGTTCCTTTCCTGCAGGGGGCTCCACAGCATCTTTCACTGTGGTCCAAGAGCGCCACATACTTAGCAGGCAGAACACACCGTAGGGGAAAGCAGAAATTCGGGATCTGGCTTTGCCCGCTAACATCGCTTGGCCAGCAGAGGGAGACAAGACTATGTGACAAAAATCACGGGCGGCGCCGAGGTTCCGGCTTGTCGGTCACTGTGGGATGATCTGACTCCACTCCCCCGTGTTCACGCCAAGAAAATCTCTTGACAGTGTTTATTTTTTGTGGCTCTGGGATGCACGCAGGGCCTCACACAGCTAGCCAGGTACCTACCACGAAGCTACATCCCCCGCCTCAAGAATGGACGTCAGATAACTCCACTTTCCCCCACCGCTTATCTTCTGTGGTCTTTATTGCAAGGTTTAGTGAATGAGATTTGTCAACTAAAAAAAAAAATATTTGGGGGGGAGTTAGTTCATACTGGCCTTGAGCTCACCATGTAGCCCAGGCTGGCCTCAAACTCATGGTGATCCTCCTGCCCCAGCCTCCCAGTGCTGGGATTATAGGTATGCACCAGCATGCTCAGCTCTAAAATTTTTTTTTTTTTTTGAAAAATAGAAATTTCAGGAAGAAAATCTAGATAGTAAATAAACAACAGTTCATAGAAGCTATGCTTTATTGAGCACGTGTGTGTGTGTGTGTGTGTGTGTGTGTGTGTGTGTGTGTAGGAGCCTCCTCCCCGTCAGACATTTGTTTTTTTGTATCCTTGCTTTTTTAAAAATTTTTTTCCTTTTTGAGACAGGGTTTCATTATGCAGTTCAGACTGGCCTTGGACTCATTTTGGAGCCCAGGCCGGCCTCAAACTCAAAGTGATCCTCCTGCCTCAGCCTCCCAAGTTCTGGGATTACAGGTTTGTGCCATCACCTGGCTCGGTGGAGTTTGGTCTTCAGTTCTCTTAAGTTCTGCTTCTCTTTAGACACCTGAGAAGCTCTTGTAGATTTTCCTCTTGCATTTTTTTTTGTAATTGACAAAAATTATATATATTTATCAAGTACAATAAGGTGACTGGAAATACATATACAAAGTACAGTGTAAAATGAAGGTAATTAGTGTATTTACTTTTTTCACAAATTATCACTTTTTTTTTTGAACTTGCCAAAACAGAATATTGAATAGAGCAGCACCATTAATCAGAATAGAGCAAAACAGTAATGAAAATATTTGCCTTCAAAGAGATGGTAGAAGGAAGTCCCCCTTATTAGCTATGGTCAACCTCCCAGGAGACGCTCAGATTTCTGGTTCCCATTTGCTAATGGGGGGACAGAGGAATCGGGGGAGAGAAAGTGGGAGGTTTGACTCTAGGCCGTGCACCAGTAGAGTCACTATTGCTTAGCAGGGAGGCAGGCTGCTTGCTTGGTTTCCCAGCGTCCTAAGTTCCAACATGGCGCGGATGTCACAAGACACTAGTGGTTCTCCCCCTGGAGGGGCCACAGTCTGCCACACCATTTATTGAGCACTTAATAGTTGGGTACCGAAACTTTATCTAAACTTCCTGTTACCTCCTCCACTAAGTGGCTGCTGAGCCTAATTTCTCCCATTCCATTTGTAGTACTTTTCCCACTGCCCAGGACTCAGCGCTGAGACTCTGCTCTCCGTCCACCCCTGCCTAGCCTTCCCACTCCAGCCTCCTCAGGAAAGACACAGCTTCTCTTCCAGGGGCGTGGCTATGCCTGGGTGTGTGTTCTCTTTGCTTTCAGTGGTGGTTTGTACTATGTGCAAGTAGCGTCTGGTTTTTTCCTTTTGTTCGTTTCATGTTTTATTCCAGTACTAGGCACTGAAGGGAGGGGTGCTCTACACTGACCTGTACGCTCAACTCTCTCTACACTGACCTGTACGCTCAACTCTTAATATTTTGAGATAGAGTTGCCCAGGCTGGTCTCGAACTTGGGGATCCTCTTGCCTCAGCCTTCTTCCAGTAGCTGGGATGATAGGTATATACTACCACGACAATGTGACTCATCTTGAATCATCTGGCTTTGTTTAAATGTTTGTATCCTTCCATCTATGGGTATATTGTTTCCCCAACAAGATTGGGGGGGGGGTCTTACTATACAGTTCAGGCTGGCCTTGAGCTCACTTTGTAAGATTTTTTAAAAACTTTGCCCAGCTTAAATTTTTTGTTGTTAAAATAGGCCCATTTTAAGGAGAGTTTTCACCACACCTTGTATGGAGTTGTTTTCTATTTTTTTAGTGTTACACACATAGACTCCTCTTCCTCTTAGCCTGCATGCAGTCCATCAACAAACCCTATCTGTGTTCTCCCTGCAAAATCTGTGGTTCTCAACTCCAAACACTTTGTGCCACAGCCATTCGTGCGCTGTCCGTCTGTGCCATCTTCGTCTCTCACGGGGACGTTGCAGGAGCTCTTTGGGGGTCCCTGTGTCTACCTTCCTCCCAAGAATAACCAGAGACTTCCTTTTAAACCACACAGCAGATCACATGCTCGCCTGCTCTCAGCCCTGCAGTGACTATCCTGGCTCTCAGAAGAAAAATCCAAATCCTTGCTCTGAGCAGTCTTACGATCCTATCCCCACCTGCTCCTCCCTTCTCCTGACTCCTAGTACCTCCTC